CCTTGACATTCCAGGCTGACAGGCGCAGACATGGGCTCAGCTAAGTACAGCAACCTTACATCTTCACAAGCATTCTTATACAGTATAAGGCCACACTGCCCTGAAGCTGGGTTTGGCCATTTTCTGCTCTTTTAAATACAATATGGGCACTTTCAGTGAGTCATAAGGCAGAGTTTAGACAAAAACCTGACAAACTGCCTTCTGTCAGTTTTTTCGATGATTCTTCCTTTTTTCCCGTTCATGATAATAAAGATCATACTTATGCATTTTAGAACACAAGTTGTGACAGAGGGCTACTTTGAATATTAAAGGAGTTATGTACAACTGACAAGCACTGAGGTATTCCACCTGCAGGCTGTCATTCACAGAAAAAGGTGTTCCGTAAAAATATGTCTTGTCAGTTTCATACAGTAGCTGACCTAAAACAACACTATCGACTAGCAAATCAAGTACAGACCTTCAGCTCTGAGTACTACCCAACGGCCATAAATGTTGTATTCTAGACATTATATCTACAGATTGTTTGGGGTAGTAGAGGACAAAAGCTGTAGTCACAGGCACTAAAAAGCAGCTGTGACAAAAGCGCTCTTTTCGACAGTTCCAGTTCAAAGCCTTGTTGCAATTTCAAAGTTAAAACAATGGCTGCATGCCAGTCAATTTGCTGGCTATTTAAAATCTTTATTTTCTGTGGGAATGTTTCTGTCTCTCATCTGCACAAGTGTTTCTCTCCATTCCACCTTCTCATCATTTAAACCACAAGCTGTTGAGGCAAGTTTGCCTTTTAGGCTGAATTGAAAACACAAATAACCACATCAGGTAAAACGGAGGTGCCCGCTCTATTGTGAAATCCTCCAAAAACTCATGCCATTTAAGAAATTATATTCATAAAAAAGAGATTGTTACTTACTGCAAAACATTAACACGGAATACAAAAAAGTATTATTTTGTGCAATTAGTATGATCGAATGCTTACTATACACACAAGTGAGTCTTATATTTATATGCTGGAGGGAACAAACAATCAAATCAAAAGTCTTTTTGAGAAAGTAGAGTATTAAACAGGAAACGAACAATGACATGATATTACCACAGGATGTTCTCGAGATTGCTGTACAGAAAGGATTGCACAGTCAGAGAAAATAAAGACTACAGTACACGAATAGATTCAAATGTGATAACGCAAAATTACAAAGGCCATTAAGGCTCTAGACTGGGGGAGGTATGCCACAGCTTAAAGCGGCCAGTTATTCAGCTGCAGTTGTCGACAGAAATACTCAGACAGCAAGAATCCGTGATGAGAAAATTGTGCAGTTCTGCATTGAATGCAAGTTTTTAATAGAATCATTTATTAGCTGCCTCTGGATCTCTCTCTGCATGAGGCTACCAAGAGCCAGTGCTTTCATTCCATTCTTCTCCTTCAGAGCAAAAGAGATCCTGCAGGGTTACTAATGAAGGAACCAAACCCATACATAAGAATCCCTATCATGGACTGGGAGCAGTGCTACTGCAGATGGATCAGAGCACAGCAGAGCACGGTAGGGGACAAAGCACCATATAATGACTGATGTCTGTAGTCAGCACTACACTCATAAAGACACTGTGTGCTGATTCTACAGATGGCCGTGCTGCTGCATGAGATACAGGCTCAAAATTTGCTTCTCCCTGCAGTCACCATCACACCTCACTAAAAGCAATCATTTCTGCCAAAGCAGTTTCTTTACTAGCAAAATTACAGCTATTGGAAAATAACACAGCAGAACGCATGCCTGCAAAGCATTCCAATAGCCATTCACTATAAAGCACATCTAGATAAAATGTTTTTTTGACTCCTCATTTGGCCTACTTTGGATTAGTGCTCAGCGTTTATTATTTGAATTTCCAAAAGCTGTGTGCTCACTTCAGCAGTGAAAGAAGCAGGCGTCATTAAAACAAAGAGACTGCTCCTTAAACTTTATTAAAGCACAAGGCAGGGGGATGCTGGAGGGCAAATTGTTTGCCAGTGTTGACAGCCCAGAGATCTGGCTGGTCCAGTCTTGCTCAGCATACTCTTCACTCAGTGACTGTTATTCCAGTTCCATTACTGCGTAGGAGTGCCAGACCTGACATCTTACAGAACAATGGCAGGTTGGAGCTATCTTTTTTCCAGTGTGTTCACAGCAACAAGGCTAAAAACCATTGTAATAATATGAAATCTTCTGTGGCTCACATGAAAAAGAAATAAAAAACATATATAACATTATTAAGAATGTACATTCCAGCTGGCTGCTCATTGCACTTTAGTCAAATTGTTTTGCTCTGTAAATTTCTAATCTTTCAGCAGCAAGAATTTGAGCAACTTTTAAGAAATTAAGAAACAAAGGACTGGAAAGTAGGAAGGAAATACCATTCTGAGGATTTGTGTTTTCCACTTGGAACATTCCAAAAACAAAGAAACATGAGACAAACTGACATAAATCCATAACACAAATAAATTAGAATAAAATTAATCCACCACTTAGATGTTGTAATGTAAGATTAGACTATTTAAAAAACATTGAAATATGGTTCCTGTTACCCAGATGTATGTAAATGGCATTGCCAGTTTGAAAAATCATGCCCAGGGCTTCATTTAGTTTGTGGTTTCATATGCAAAATTATTTCGTTGCAAGACCAAATCAGCTATGTCTAACTGGAACAGTAAACAGGATTGCTAGGGCTGACATGCATCACGGGGAAGTGACCATCACTAAAATTGGTCTTAATCGATCTAGCAAAGTATATTTTATCTACCGTCCTCACCTTTAACTAAAGAGAAAAAACAAACAAACACAAAGATGGTTCAATGTACAGAATTGTCATGTCTGAAACTAACTGTAAGGCTCTCAGTGTTCCAGTAGGCGGTGCTGTTGCCCAAGGTAAACGGACTGACAGCCACATCACAGTACAGTGCTGTACAAGACTGCAGCCACAGGCTCATTCTTTTGTATTGCAATGGAGAAATTCAGCAGCAACACTACAGTATAAGAATTTGGTAACAAGTGTATTTTAGTCCTCAGAGCTGCTTTCATACCCCAGTGGAAATGACCAGACAGATAAGAAACATTTTTACAGTATATACTTTGTGAACTTTTTGCCTGGTTTGTCAAGAGCCATTAAGTCTATGGTTACAACGTCATCCTTTACCACGGTATATAGGTTTTGGAGAGACATTTTCTAAAGCCTAAACCACACAAATGCTGATGCACAGAGAGGAACATTCGTGAGCTACAACACTTCACTAAGCTCCAGCTGCTTGCTTTTATCTCATCTATATAAAGCATGTTTCAAGTCAATTTTATCTGACATTTAGCAATAAATCAAATGTTGGGCGTCCCACAAATCCATTAAAAGTATAGGTATGGATGGGTTTACACCTATTGTCCCTCTAAATAATTTCATCATGAAATCTGTGATCTCTGTAATTCATATTTTTGGAGGTTGTGATCCGCTTGTTTCCCAATATACAGTATCCAGCTAATTCAAGTCATACCCTGAAGTTCATTCTGTGCGATTCCCTCCAGGTGAATTTCAAAATGCTTTGAAGCAAAACTTAAAAAAACGTTTACAAGCCACCTCTTGGGTTTTTTTTAACCAAGCGAGAATGCTGGATTTGTTGCAAAAACACAGAAAATATACTAATCTTTTTAAACACACCATTACGACCCATTAGAGAACAAACGCCAATTATGACAAGCAGACGTTACCTGCCAACAGCAGGTGAGTTCGTCACCGTTTTATTTTGATGCTTTCATCATAACTGACCAACAATGATACATATAAAAACAAAAATGTAAAATGTAGATTAAAACCTTGTCTGCATTATTCACTACTAGACAGAATTAGAATTAAGAAGCATAATAATCAATATTTGGAAATTAACACAATCTTCCCTCTATATCTAAACAACTTTGCCCTGCAAATGTGTGCGCTTTTTCTGTAATTCACATAAAATAAAAACTGGTAAAGGTCATGATTTGTGGGCAGCAACAGAAACATGAAAGCCCAGGACCCTGTTCTGTACAAAGCATAACAAAATAATGTCTGACCCTAATCGAGTGGCTTCTGAAACCAGGAAATACTGGTTATGGTATATTCAATAAGAATCAAAATGTTGTTGAACCTCTTACCTTCACTTTATATTAATTTTAAAAGCAGTCTCCTGTATTTATGTCATCAGTCACTATTTTTATGCAACAGATGTTTCCCTCTGTCAGCAGGCCCACTAACAATGGAAGATGGAGGACTCTTTTTTAAACAGATGCACACGCAAAGTCTAATTTCCTTTCCCTATGTTTTTTATAGGTGAATAATTTCAGAGATGATCCTAGAGATTTTTTTTTAAATCATCTAACTCCACACCTATTTTAAGATATAAACTTTTTATCCATTTTAAGCATTTTATCATATGAGACCATGGGGCCTGATAATGTCTGAAAACATTAATAAGATGAAAACTATTTCTTCCAGAAACTCCATTGAGTGGAACTATTTTTTATAATGGCAGGTTAATAGCTCTTAATTGAAAATGCAAATCTTTCATTCTTTCAAACACATATGATTAGTACTCCGTTCTCAGTAGAGCATTCACTATTAACATTTTATCAGCTGTAAGCAGGATTTAGTGTTTATAAAGACTGGAATGCACTTAAATCTACGAATGGAAGGCTAATTTTTAAGATGTAGTTTCAAAGTGTATTAGTAAGCAACTTTGTGAAGTCTTCTAATTTGTATCAGGTCTACATTTTATGCAACTTTTTATATTGCCATTAAGCAGGTTCTGCTTTGTGCAGCAAGACCTTCAATGTTTTTAATTTATTTTTTCCCTGACCTTTTACAGGAAATAAAATAAAACAAAGCAGTTAGCCATTGCTGTGAAGACGTTTTTTTTTAATCCTTCTAAAACCCATTGTTCCCCAATGAACAAAAACCTCATGTTCTGCCAAAATATCTGGAGTAGCATTTAGCAAATTCTCTGTTGTGAGGGGAGTTTTCCATGAGGATTAGAAAGACATCAGCTAGAGAATTGGTTTTAAAAGTTATTATTCTATTCTGTTGCACATCATGGAGTGCTCTTTAGAAAAGTAATTTACTGTTCTTTTTCACCAGCGATTGCTCTCAGTTCCCTAAGACAGTGCTTTACAGAACACATTTCTATTCTAGTAGGAAAACCCTGGTCAGCCTGGCTATTGATTTACTCACTCGAAATGTACCAGCAGAGCAAACGTGGAAATTAAGTGCACAAAGGTAAGAAAATTTAAAACCTCTTCTCAACTGACCAATTGTATTGTGCAACTGCGTCTTCGAGTAAGGGCAAGATACTCGCATCCCTTGGAGAACAAGAACCAATTTCACATTGCTGCTGCTATTGTCTCGTCTCCAGAACTAATTCTGTTAAATTAAAGACAAATTTCACTCACAAATCACAGCGTCTATTAAATTCCCCAATATGATTAAATTTTAATCATTTACGCCACAGTTTTCCATATAAACGCTGAAGGATTACACGCACAGTTTTCTAATATTAATCAATTTTAAGAGTCTACAGTACGTAGCACAATCGTCTATTTGCTTTCGCTGTTGTTATCAGCACATATTTTCTGTGGCGTAGACCGACTTATTTATTTGGGGATAAGATGAAACTCGGAAAAATATACTTTCTGGAGAACGTCATCCATGTTAAACTATTTTATGCATTAGAACCTAGTTATCATTAATTTAATATACTGTACATACAGTATAGTAACGTGCTTATCAGAACATAAGACTACTACAAAACATTTATTTTTTATTATATTTGATGAGATCACATGTGATTAAAACATTCTTGCAATGAAAAGTATTGTCATCTGTCTTTGTGGGTTTTTTTGTATTTAATGTTTTTTTTTATGGATTGAACTTTAAATTCCGACAGACTATGTTTGTTAAAAATATATAAATGTAATTCACTCTAGTATATTGATAATCGGGAATTACTGATACGCTAATATAAAAAATAATATTGAAATACGATCGCATCGCAGCAACTCTGACAACGCCACGAAAAAGAAGAATACGGATTAAGGCTGTTGTTAAACTAAAACATTTTAGTTCGCTACAGATAAAAGGATAAAGGAAACAAAGCTTAGGAGGGATTGCCTAAATCTTCCTTTTATAAATACGACTCAAGAGGAAATGTTAAACCTGTCCCTTTGCCTAGACTTCTACCATCTTTAATTGGAAAAGACAGTTTTTCAAACAAACTTCCAAAGTGAAGCCTCTGAACTTACTGAAACCATTTGAGAATCAAACTTTCTCTTCACAAATGGTCCCGTTTAACATTTCCTCCTTTTCCCAGCAAATTGCTCGTGCCGTAGGCCGGGGCGATTGAAAACGGACAGGGTCAGACTCCGGGAATTGCGGGTCTGTCAGTTTGCTTTGCAATGGGCGAGGTGAAAGGAAGTTATTCTAGCAATTTTCCTTCCCAGACTGCAAATTTTTTCAAGGTTTTTGGCTTGGAATTGTTTCAACGTCGAATTCCTCTTTAAGGGGGGGTCAATTACTTTTACTTTTAAATAAATAATTATCTAAAGTTGTTGTTGTTGTTATTATTATTAAATGTCTGATTTTTTATTCTTGTAGACTAAATAGTGCTTACAAGAGTTAACTTTTTAAAGCATTTTTTAGCCCTAACCAAAAATAAACTGTACAAATGAATGGTTTAATGCTTGGTATGTGTTGCCAATATAAAAACAATAACAATCGTTTAACACAGCTCCAATGCAAGACGTGTTCATATCAAAATTATTTTCTTAAAGGCTCAGTCAAGATAAAATACCCGATCTCATACTTGGGTTATTCTTTTTGTAAAATGCGTGTAACTCCGCAAAATATCTTCTTACTTTTCAATTTGGACATTTATAGATATAGTAACAGAACATGTTTCTGGATTTCTATACCTGCCTCTTTTTGCCCAAATCTGAAGTTTAAAAATAATGATTGATTTTTTTCTGAGCTGCAAGACTTAAAATAACCCTTCCACAGAGAGGCGCTTAAGCACTGCAAACCCGTCGCAACAATACATGATATCTTCATTTTCAGAGAGAGAACCATCTCAGCTCATTCTGTACATACTGTACTTGTCACAGTGCGGGATATTATTATTATTATTATTATTATTATTATTATTATTATTATTATTACTACAAACATTGTGAATGTTGTACAGACTATCATTCCAGTTAAAAAGCGTGATATGTCTTCACGAATCTCACTAATGTGAATTCCTTTTACAGAACAATAGAGAAGTATTACATCAAAACGTTGCTTAAGCACAATGGAAATGTTCGGGAAAAAAGCATAGAAAACAGCTGTAAAAATTTCAGCCTTTCACGTTTAGCTCCGGCTGTTTAAATCTTAATGTTATTTAGCCAAATACTGTATATCGTGAAGACCACCACTTTGCTCATAAATGCTTAGAATGGTCGCAATTATTATGATCTATCGATAGAAATTGTGTTCTAGTTCCATAGACATCACTAGAACATGCAAAGCAAAATATGAACATTAAATGTATAAAACACCATCAGGTATATCTGTCATGTACTGAAGAACTAGCTGACGCAAATCCCCGTTTATTTGTATTACATTTCTCACCAGTCGATTTCTGAACACAAGGATATTCTCCAATAATCCTAATACTACAGAAACTTCACAATTCTCGAGATTTCCGTTTTCGTCTAAAGGGAGTACCTCATAGCTTGCCGTGTAAATACAGGACAGTGATCAGGACGAGATGCAAGAATTGTATCCCCTTCCAAAAGATAAAATAGTGAAGACAACTGCTCTGCACTCTTAGTAAATGAAACTTCTTTTGAAACAAAAAGTCAGTATGTACTGCAAATGAAATGTAAAGGGTGACTTACAACAAAGATAATCGAGCAAACGGTATCGCGATTTTGTAATAGAATTTTAGGAGGAATCGTAACATTAATTTGATTTAAGATCATTTGAAAATCAACATCCGCAGTTCTTCGGTCGGCTGTGAAAAGCGGAGCGCCCGGAGATTGTGTGTTTAAAGTCTGTTGACAGGGCTATTGGAAATTGACATGAACGCTGTGGAAATCCATACATAGACAGAAATCCCGTTTATTGCATGTTTAGTAAAATTTTAAATGCGTTAAAGCTATTTCTCGATTGTTAAATTAGATCATTTATAATACGATTCTTTGAGAGAAACGTGATATAAAACGTGACATTTTTTTCACCTTTAAAAGGCTTTCTCTTCAAGGCTGACAATACGTTAAGCAGACAAAAGACACGGCGAGATAGTCAGAAATTATTGGGTACACCATGTATCAATCTCAAAACCTTAATAATTATTTAAAAAATATACACACATTTATAAAATGTGTTTAGGTAAGGATTTTGTTAAACTTAATAGCATTCACCAAGAAATGGATTACACAGATTTAGATAATTTCATGCGCATCTGTAAAGTTCTTTTTTATTGGTTTACGTAAGTGTTGAATATTAAAAACCACATAGGAAACCACATTTTAATCAACCGTCATGAAAGTTTACCGATTTTCAGTGTTTATTTCAATACTACAACCACCATCACCACCAATAATAATAATAATAATAATAATAATAATAATAATAATAATAATAAGGTACTATATCTAGAAGGTCTGTTAGTGTAATTGTAAGTTACTTTGGATAAAAGATTCAGCTACATAAACAGCTATACTCTGCTGTCTTTGCATTTCAATACTTCGGCACAGCATCAACAATTTTCGACATAGCACTGCATCAACAGTGCTCTGGTTAGAGAAGCAAAGGCCTGGAACAGCTATTCAGACTGGAGCTATTAGGCCCTTTTAAAGGTACAATGCTGTCTGTCTATTCTCCCATCTACCCATCCAAACGCAGTCAATGCACACTCCAGGAGCTGCTATGCTGTAATGAAGCTAGTTAATCCCATTCAGTTGTTTTCTGTCTTATCGGCGCAGAGACATAGACAGCTCATCTTGGCCAGGAATGAAATGGGCAGCATGGCTTCCCATGTTGTTGTCCTCACACCTGAGACTTGTCCACTACGCTTGTAAAATAAGACAGGGTTCGCGTAATTCAGCTGTGCTCAGGGGGGCACAGAGCTGCTTAAGGGCAGTAAGAGCTAACAAATGCAGCTCCAACATACACAGTACAAAATAAAGCTACTTCAATGCTAAAACGCACTGTAATTTGTCTGTTGGGGTGCTTTCCTGCTTTTATGTACGAGTCGAACAACGGGAGCATAAACACTATACAGATACCATTCAGTCCTGGGGAAATGAATCTGCTGAATTCACTGCAGTGCGCGGGCTTGTATTTATTTTTTAATAAGGGGTAACATAGAGATTTAATTGATTGTTGCCATGGTCAATTATAGAATTAAAGAGCTCATTGCAGCAGACCCCTTCGGTGGAGATTGATATTTAAAAGGAAAGTCAATGGGGTGGGGGGACTGAATAAAAGTGTTCTAACCCACTAACCCACCCCCCCAACCTCAGAATATTGACACAACACAGAGCACATCAATTTCAGTGTGCGATTTTTATATTTCTGTAACTGACGCCTCCCTGCCCATCCCCCCCGCATGATCCCCTCGCACACACAATCTTCCTAATGCAGTCTTAAACGCCCAACACTGTTGTGATTGAGGAGGTGAAATTAATAGTGTGTAAAGTCATCTTTCCAAAGGGTTTATTAATGATAAACATCACTGGTGTTGCTCAGGTTACAGCAGTCTGGAGCCCAGAGTCTGAGAGGGGATGAAGATTTGCTCTCTCTCTAAGCTAGTAGGGATGGATCAATTGAGTCTCCCTTTACAACGCACTCCACAAATGCACTCCCGCGCTTGTATGGGAGTACAGCTTAAAGCTGCCTGGCTACAGAGCGGTTGTCCATAACAACAACAAAGACAGAAGGAAACAAGAGAAACCGAAACGTTAGGCCCTTGCTCGGTTATTTTACTTTCCAGTGTTTAGGAAAATCTTTTCCAATTATTACTGCAGCTGCTTTTTTCTTCTTTCCTCAAGTAATCAGTTCTTTTCCTCAGGTATCCTTTCCCCTCCTCTTTTTTTTCTGCTTCTTTGAAGATCTACATTCTTGGCAAAGACACAAGAACCGCCATGACAGTGACTCTTCACACCCAGCCCCAGCCAGCAGGCCTCAGCCTAGGGGTGGAAGGACCCCTCATGCACTCCCTTCACAGACCTGACTAT